AAAAACTATCTGATAAGGCGATATTTATTGACGGAGCCTACAATATTGATGGATCGTGATCTACATCCAGTGTTGCCAAAGTTTTGAATTTGAAAAAGCACTAAAGCCCAAAAAAAAAAATCGCGTTTTTTTTAGAAAAAAATCACCAAATTTTTTATTGGAGGATTCAATTGACTTTGTATGCATACAAAATTTTATTGTAGGTATGTCGATTCAAATTAAAAAAAATTAATATTTCTTCCTCGGCGGTCGAAGGTTCGTTATTCATTTTACTGTTAGGAGATGCTGGTGCTTGTTGTAATATTCGTAGAAAATATAACAAATTCAGGCTGAATTAAAGGTCTAAAGATCTATTCCTGATCTCAGCAACATGGACGTTTTTACAGGCAATGGCAAATTATCGTATGTAATTCTGGCATGATTTTAAGTTCTACCACATATTTATTTGACAAACATAGGACCTTTCGCTTATGATTGTCATTGTGCCGTGATTTTGTTTTCATTTATGTAAAGTTCCTTACGAAACTTGCAATTGCTCTAAATTTAACTTCCATTACGTTTCAGATTTACGGTTTTGGTGTCTTCAAAATAAAAAAAAGCACTAAAAACGCACCAAGCACCAAACTCAAAAATTTTCGCGTTTTGAATTAAGAAAAGCACTAAATTTAGTGCGAAAAGCACTAAGTTGACAACAGTGTCTACATCGCAAAATTTCTAAAAATTTTGAAATCTGGGTCGCGGATCGTAATACCGTCAATAAATATTGAACGTTTAGCATTTTCAAAACGCGATCCATATATTTCGTCAGTATATATTGTACTCTCATAATGCGAACATCAAAAACATGTTCGCTCTCGGCGCTCAAAACCTTTCAAAACAAATTGAAAGTATTTAAATTAGCATTGGAAATTTTAAAATAATTATGGAATGCATTATCTGTAAATTATTCGTATAAAATAAAAATATTTTCTTGCGATATAATAAGCGTGCAGCACAAAAATTATGCAAATACAGACGCGATAAATTTTGAACATGTAGCATTCATGCGCGATCCATCAATCCATCAATATGGATCGCGATCCAAATATCGTGATAATTACTGACCGTGTGACAGGGCCCGTATTGTTCGTTTTAAAAAATCTACGAGCTTCTTTTGTGTGTAAAATCAACCAAAATTAATTTTATGACGTCCGTGCCCTGGGCATGACTAATCATTTGACAGCTGCTGTCAATTTAAAATATACCCAGTCACCGGAGGAAGGCTACATTTTTTGTTTTTCTCAGCCGCTGTGTTAAAATTTTCAAATAAATCAGTAAAATAGCATGGATTTCTCACAGGATTATGGTATCCACGACAATGCCGTTAGTACAGGCACAACCATCATGGCAGTTGAATTTGATGGAGGCGTAATCATCGGCGCAGATTCCCGCACCAGCACTGGGCTCTTTGTGGCCAATCGTGTCACAGATAAATTAACTCGCATTACAGACAAAATCTACTGTTGCCGTAGTGGCTCCGCCGCTGATACACAAGCAATCGCTGATATTGTTTCTTACTCCCTGAATTACCATGAAAATCAAACTGGTGAAGAACCATTGGTTGCTGAGGCTGCATCAGAATTCCGCAACTATTGCTACAACTATCGTGACAGCTTGCTGGCAGGCATTATTGTGGCTGGTTGGGATAAAAGAAACGGCGGACAAGTGTACTCCATACCATTGGGTGGCATGTTGAAGCGCGAAGCAGTAACAATTGGTGGTTCTGGTTCGAGCTACATTTATGGGTTCGTTCGTGAATCGTATCGTCCGCAAATGAGCAAGGAAGATTGTGTTGCCTTTGTGGTGAAGGCTGTAAAACATGCTATCTATCATGATGGCAGCTCAGGTGGTGTGGTTCGTATTGGCATAATCACAGAGGATGGTATCGAGCGAAGAGTATTTTACAATACAGAATCTGGCAATCCAGTTGAAATTGGAAATTAATGAAAGTTCTTTTTATAAATAAAAAAATTACGAATAAGTGCTGGATTTATGTAGGTTTTTGATTAAATATGTTTACTACAATAAATACTTTGGAAATATGAATGTTAAAGTTTGATTCAATAAAGAAACGCACCTAAGCCAAAGCATCGTACCTACGACAGTCTGGTGTACGTCTGGCCAAGGACGGTCACTCCAGTAACACTCCACAAAAACTCTTCGGGGAATTTGTATACTGATACAATGATACAATAACAGCTCGCGACAGTCTGGCTAAGGACTGTCACTCCAGCAACACTCCCCAAAGCCTCTTTGGGAAATCTATAAGCTGTTACAACAACAACTATCAGTCTGCTTATCTTGTCGCATGGTCCGTCTTTTAATACTTCTGTGGAAATAAACTTTTATATAAGTTGGCTAAGGACGAAAATTGCAGAAGTCCCAGAACAATACGCTGATACAATAAGAATTTCAGATGCTCTCTTACCCATTATAAGTTATAGATCTTTAAATGTTAAGAATTGAAAACAGTCTACTTTGTTAATTATTGAATCATGCATACATACTACATTTTTTCCGAAGGTTGGATAAGCAAATATGTAAAAAGATAACAAACGATATTGAGCATAAAAGAAGACACTATAAATATCTTTTAATTCTGCAAGTCCAATATAAACTTCTTGCCGGTGAAACCTTTAAAATTCATAGCTGCTGCCATTGCTTCTCTAAACTTCTGCAATGGTACCATCTCATGGACCGGGGCGGCGAACTTTCCCTGCTCGATCATTTCACACAAATCATTGAACATTTGTATACGTTGCGGCGAATCAGAGTTTTCCTTCGTCCAGCGGGTCATCCAGAAACCGCGGAATGCTATATCTTTGAAAATGAGGGCAGCTGTACTGGCGACAACCGGTTCGCGCGACATACCTCCATAGGTGACCATTACACCTTTATCTTCCAAATGACGTGCTACCTCAGTGGCACTTTTACCACCCACACAATTCAAGGCTAGTCGCGGTATTGGCAAATGTTTTTCTTTGAATAGCGGACTCGCGCGAATTTCTTCTTCGGTTAGTACTTCAGTTGCGCCAAGTGACTTTAAATAATCTTTTAAGGGCCCAATATCTGGGCGATCGCGTACTATGCCAACTGACTTTATATCCCATGCTTTACATAACTGATGCACCGCCTGCCCGACAGCGCTATTTGCACCATTTTGTATGACGCAATCTCCAGGACGCAAAGTCACAAAATCTTTTAGCATACGATAGGCAGTACAGGGATTTACAGTAAGCGTAGATGCTTCAGCAAGCCCTATTTTAGAAGAAACAGGCATGAGATGTTCCTCGGCGAAAAGAGCATGTGTCGTCCAAGTGCCCAAGCCCGTAGCGAAAGGTACCACGTGTTGACCGGTGATCAATTTAGAGACTTTTTTACCGACTGACACAACTTCAGCGACACATTCGTTACCACCAACGGCGGGAAATTTCGGCTTGACGGGATATGTACCTACAATTTACAATCATTGTAACATAAAATAAAAAAGTGTAACAGCTAATTAATTGCCTTGTATAGTAATTATATCTGACGGATTGATGGGGGCTGCAAGGATTTTTACCAATACTTCATTATCATTTGGCTGGTTCAACTGACCCTCAACAATCTCGAGCACTTCCGCTGGTTCGCCATGTTTGGAGTATTTGAGGGATTTCACTAAAACGCTCATATTTCGTGTAAACTGTAAAGAATTCACTGGATTTTGCAGAACGCAACGAGTTTGTTGGCATATACTTTTAATAAACATGGCGGCCTGTTATCACAGAAATCTCTTATCTCGAAAAATAATTATTTCCGCCCTTCGCAACTAGTGATGAAACGATAGGAGTAAATGCAAGTATATACCAGTGTTGTTATTTAAGTTTTTAAATTGTCTAAATTAATGACAAAAAGTGCAACTTTTTGAGCTTAACTGTACTTTTTACCATTTCCGTCAATGCATAACTCCCTTTTCCCGTAACTAAAACAAAAACATTTTTTTGTCTACTGTAGTGTGTTTATTCTTCAATTCATTGTACAGCTTCAGTTAGTAGGTTTGTTCGTCGAAAATCCAGCAAGAAAATATCAGAGAGTAAGAAAAAATTCTCTCTCATGTTGAGAAACTTGCAAATTTCTGCACGAACGCAAATTTGCAAGTCTTCAGCTAGCCTATAAAGTCATAGCTAGTTTTGTCGAAAAGTCCCACTAATTTAAACTAAGTTTAATTAAGCTTACATTTTAATTTAAATTATACACAAATAAATTCGTGAATTATATTTCACATTTTTAAAAGTATGCCCCGCGACAAAATGCTACGGTCACCAGGTTTTGGGCTATTTATTATATTATTTCTAAGTTAATTTTAATTATTATTTTTTTTATAAAAGTACTAGCAGAGCACCCGACGTCGTTCGGGTTAATCAGATCAAAATATAAAACCATAGTTGCCAACTTGGTGCTTTAAGCACTAGATTTAGTGCTTTTGAAAATTAAAACGCCAAAAAATTATTTAGTGCCTAGTGCCTCTTTTAGTGTTTTTTTCCGAAACAAAATTACTCCGACATAGTTAAAACCTGAAATAATTTTTAAATATTTAAAGCTGTGGCAGCACTGAATTTACAAAAATCTACAAATTTTTAATGCACTTAAATACAACCATGATTGATAAAAAGCTGAACTTACAAATTCACCTTGTTCAATTCTATTCGCGTTGAAAATGCTAGTAGATATGCGAATAAGTTAAGTATTTCTTTTTTTTCTTTTCTAATTATTTGTAAAAACTTTTATTTTTGTACCACCTGAGTAAACCACATCGTTTCTTGGTGCTGAATCCAAAACTCCCCAAAGCCTCTTTGGGAAATATATAAGCTGTTACAACAACAACTATCAGTCTACTTATCTTGTCGCATGGTCCGTCTTTTAATACTTCTGTGGAAATAAACTTTTATACAAGTTGGCTAAGGACGAAAATTGCAGAAGTCCCAGAACAATACGCTGATACAATAAGAATTTCAGATGCTCTCTTACCCATTATAAGTTATAGATGTTTTAATGTTAAGAATTGAAAACAGTCTACTTTGTTAATTACATGCATACATACATGCATATGAATACAATCAGCTACATTTTTTTCCGAAGGGTGGATAAGCAAATATGTAAAAAGATAACAAACGATATTGAACATAAAGGAAGATATACTATAAATATCTTTCAATTCTGCAAGTCCAATATAAACTTCTTGCCGGCGAAACCTTTAAAATTCATAGCTGCTGCCATTGCTTCCCTAAACTTCTGCAATGGTACCATCTCATGTACCGGGGCGATGAACTTTCCCTGCTCGATCATTTCACACAAATCATTGAACATTTGTGTACGTTGCGGCGAATCAGAGTTTTCCTTCGTCCAGCGGGTCATCCAAAAACCGCGGAATGCTATATCTTTGAAAATGAGGGCAGCTGTACTGGCGACAACCGGTTCGCGCGACATACCTCCATAGGTGACCATTACACCTTTATCTTCCAAATGACGTGCTACCTCAGTGGCACTTTTACCACCCACACAATTCAAGGCTAGTCGCGGTTTTGGCAAATGTTTTTCTTTGAATAGCGGACTCGCGCGAATTTCTTCTTCGGTTAGTACTTCAGTTGCGCCAAGTGACTTTAAATAATCTTTCAAGGGACCTATATCTGTGCGATCGCGTACTATGCCAACGGATTTTATATCCCATGCCTTACATAACTGATGCACCGCCTGCCCGACAGCGCTATTTGCACCATTTTGTATGACGCAATCTCCAGGACGCAAAGTCACAAAATCTTTTAGCATACGATAGGCAGTACAGGGATTTACAGTAAGCGTAGATGCTTCAGCAAGTCCTATTTTAGAAGAAACAGGCATGAGATGTTCCTCGGCGAAAATAGCATGTGTCGTCCAAGTGCCCAAGCCCGTAGCGAAAGGTACTACGTGTTGACCGGTGATCAATTTAGAGACTTTTTTACCGACTGACACAACTTCAGCGACACATTCGTTACCACCAACGGCGGGAAATTTCGGTTTGACGGGATATTTACCTACAATTTACAATCATTGTAACATACAATAAAAAAGTGTAACAGGTGATTAATTGCCTTGTATAGTATTTATATCTGCCGGATTGATGGGGGCTGCAAGGATTTTTACCAATACTTCATTATCATTTGGCTGGTTCAACTGATCCTCAACAATCTCGAGCACTTCCGCCGGTTCGCCATGTTTGGAGTATTTGAGGGATTTCACTAAAACGCTCATATTTCGTGTAAACTGTAAAGAATTCACTGGATTTTGAAGAACGCAACGAGTTTGTTGGCATATACTTTTAATAAACATGGCCATTGTTCGCGTAGCTGTTAATTGTTTATGTTTAACCAAAACTTTCAGGTTTTTGCGTTCGCGTACGCAACTATGTCAGGATATCACTTTGTAATGAGTTTTCGTACGTTTTAAATTTTACACTTTTGAATGTAAACAAAAATTATATCAGCTGATCGTTTAACTTGCAAGTTTCTGCAAATTTTCTGTTCGCGTACCGTTTCGGATATTTTTCTTTTGTGAGAGAACTGGTGACATTTCGCCGGAATTTTGCTGTTGTTGGTTTTTACTGGAGATTTTAGACGAACGCGCCTAATCTTGCATTAATCGCTGAATTCCTAAATCTTTCGGGTTCGTTTCACTTTTACATTGAATAAGAAAAAGACTATAGAACGAATTATTGCAATGCTATGTATAAGCGATATACTATTTATGTATGTACACAAATAAGTGAATATTCTTGGATTATTATTGTTTTTTTTTAATGTAATTTAGTTATTTGTTTATGTTTTTGATTTGCTATTATTAAAATGTATTAAAAGCATATGATTCAAAATTTAATCTAAAAAACATTGCTAATGAAGCGTTCAGAACAAATGATGGTTTCAAAGCATAACAATTTAAACAATATTTTGCTGTATAACGTATAACTGTTACGGTCCCTGGTTTTAAATCATCTTTTATTCATTAACGTCGTTAGGGATGTCCAAAACACGCGATCTTACGTCCAAAAATAGAAAGTAAATGGGCCTGATTTTTGAAATCTTTATCGTTACAGGGTTAAAGATGTTAATGAAGTTGGCAACCATGGTGTCCTTTTTTGCGGCGAATTTAGTACAACAGCTGTCACAAGTCTGCTTATCCACATCTTTCACGGGTTGTTTCAAAGACCTACATTTAAAAATAGTGTTTCAAAATATCTGGAAAGTGTATTTGTGAAAGAAGACTTAAAAAATATTGCTGCAAACAACACATTATTTAAGGTAAGTTCTCACAGTAGCTTAAGGTTTTAAATGCTCTTCCCTTGATTTTGCTTTTTTTCGTTCACTTGAAAACGACGAGTGGCCGTAGAACATTTGCTAATTTCGCTTTTGTTTTGGTTCTACTTGTGTAAGCGTTGCCATCTTGTAAATTTTTTGTAAAAAAAAAACGTTACAGTGGGCGGTAAACAAAATAATCAGGATAAATTCATTATAGTTAATAACTTGTATGCAATCTCAGTATGCATTATGTTTTAACCCCACATTTCTGCATCTGATCAACCGATAAAACCTGGGTTGATTTATACCCGACCATCGTGAGAGATTTGTAGCGTGGTGGCAGTGCTACATATAACTAACCATCTTTCTTCGTAGTATAGCGCCATTTTCACAGTCATAAGTTAACTACTATGCTACTAATAAAGCACCATTTTTGATTTCACAGTATCAGTTCGACTTATGGTTGACTGCAGTTAACTAATGTCCATCCATTAGTTAACCAATAGTTAAAACCAGCTGTTTTTCTAGTAGGTAATAATGACTGAGAAAATGGCCCATAGTGAATACTGCACAACACGAATGGCAGTTAAATGCAAACTAGAGAAGAATTTCTGATGGTTCCAAGACAATTTATACAAAATGGTAACGGTTGAGCATAAACAAAAATTTCAATAACAAATAATAGTTGCGTGTCCCAACTTTTCTGGGTTAAAATCTGTAAAACTGTCAAAAAGCAAAAGAAGCCAGAGTAAGTTGGACGCACAAAAACTTTTTAAATAGAGTGGCAGCAGCAATTTTCGTACATTTAATTTTTAATAGAGTAGAAACACCAATTTTCCTCCATCTTATATTAACTTCACAAGATTGTTGTGCAGATTTTCATCACCGGAATATTGCAATTAAATACAGAATTTCGTGAAAAAAGTGATTTCTACAAATCTGCAAAAAGGACTTTCTGGTTGTTTACATGGGAAAGTAGATTTTCGATTTCACATTTCGTCAGGAAAATGGGGGAGAAAAAGCGCTTGCATTGCCACGTTTAACAGCACTTTAACTGACTTTTATGGATTATGCTACACACCACAAATTTGTTGGCAACTATGGCTATTCGTTAGCTGCCAAGATGGCCAATTCGCCGCTTCAGTTGAATTTCTACCGGTATTTGGGTGTGTGTTTTTTCGCATATTCGCTGTTTGATTCGCTATTCGTCAAATTTTGGATGCAGAAAGCGAAGCTAGAACAAAATAGAAGAGTGGGAATTGCATTTTTTGTTTGAATTGCGTATTAATTCGCTAAAATTTGCCGACAAGAAAGTAAAAGTGAAATTGGAGTATTTCATCCCTGAAATTTTCCCAATTTGGAAGAAGAAAACGGAATATCAGCGCAGTTTTGCGCAAATAATAGAGCAAGGTAAATTGTGATAAAACAGTAAAAAAAAATTCATCATTAAATTTTGGAATGGCTTCTATTAAAATTTCATGTAACAATCTGCACCTCCGATATTATATGTACCACATTTGGTAATAATTTATGCCTATACATAGGTACTTCGAAACGCCTTGACGACGAACATTGCGAAAAAAGTGATTGTGACTACGCCAATAGTTACTACAACTATCAATTTCGACGTTTCTAGCATTTCGACGACGGCGTGTAGAAGAGGAAAAAATTGGAGAATTGGAAGAAAAATTACAGCGGCAGCGGTAGCGCTCGGAAACAAGGAGGCGCAACGGTGAAAATGAGTTCCTACTCACACGCGGACCCCATCGCGCTCAGCTTCAATGAGACGTGCTTGCGTATGAGCGACGTACAATTACTGCAGGGTCCACACTGGCTGAATGACCAAATACTTTCATTCTACTATGAATATCTGGAAAAGATCAAATACAAAAATAATCCCGATTTGCTATTTGTCGCACCAGAAGTGACACAATGCATGAAACTGATGGACGATGGAGAGTTGGAGACCATACTAAACCAGCTGGAGGCTCCACGAAAGCCATTCATTTTCTTTGCGTTGAACGATAACGAATCAACTCAAGCGGGTGGCACTCATTGGTCACTTTTAGTATTTTCACGACCAGAGAAAACGTTCTTCCATTTTGATTCGTGGGGTAACAACAACTCATTAGCATCACATCAATTTTTTCAACGAATCAAAGATGCATTGAATTGCCGTCAATGTCATATGAAACCAATACGTTGCCTGCAACAGGCGAATGGTTACGACTGTGGCATACACGTTATCTGCATGACCGACAATATAGCCGACAATGTCAATCGGTACGAGTGTGTGGAAGGTGTTGGACCACTGCATCAGGACACAATCAGCGCAAAACGATCAGAGCTGCTGAAATTGATTCTGTCTTTGGGTGGAAAAATTTAGAAATACATTGATGGTGAAATAGCGGATTGCTTTAAAGCGTCAGCAAGCACGGAAAAATATTATTTGTTAATGGCTGTTTAGAGTGGGTTGATAGTTGGAAATGACAGAAACGTACACAAAACAGCCATTTCTTTTTTTTATTAGGAGAGCACAGGGATAGTTATATAGAAAACCAGAGTTAAGAAACGAGTATCTTCTGTGTTGAAAATTAAAATTTCACCAAAACGCATTTGGTGTATTGCTTTCTCGGAATTTCCTTTGTTTCAAAAGAAATCCATTACTTTCAGTTTTAGTTTGAGAAGTAAAGAAACATTAATTTTAAAATGTGAGAATTTTGTAACGCTAATTTGGCTTTGATTACTTGCAAATAAAACTAAAATAAGATTGTAAATCCTTTTGAAAAGGTATTTAGTAATTAAAACTATACACGTATATACATACATACATATATAACATACATAAGTACATATACACATAAAATGAATATTTGAAACTTTGATGTGAAAAAAATTGGGCGCGACATGTTAACAAGTTTTGGATGTTTTATTTTAACTTTTTTTTCATAGCAAAAACCCTGTAAGTCCAAATTTCAAAAGCTGTACAAAAATAAAAAAAATCAGCAACGTTTCATAAAATTTCAAGATTTATAAATTTCGGCGAGTTTCAGAAAAGTTGATCAAAATATCAAACGTTTTATTCAGAATTAAAAAGAAAAATTGTAGTAGTTTTGAACGCATTAAATTTTAGTATAGTAAAGTGCAAGTTTTAAGTTGGTAGGCTTTTTTGGCATGTTTTTTTTTGCTGGCAGTGTCATTCGTTTTCTTCCATGCAAATAATGTGTTACTAATTTTTTTTAAATGGAGGAAAAGCGTAACACCTTCAGAAGAGAAAAACACCGCCAAAATTCAAGAGTTAGCCAAAACTTGTTAAAATGTTACGTCCCTATTTATTGGCCCCCACCGTCACATATATGCAGATATATAGAAGGCATGTGAAAAAATTTTTTCCACATAGTATATAAAGCTCCATTATCTATGAACTTCACTTTTTCTAGCGACAGAAATGAATTACCGCTAAGTTCCTGCTGTTATTAATTCTTTCGTGTATAGCACGAGACAACAAATGCATGAAATATTTCTCGATATATATAAAAAAAAAATATTTTGATTCAATATTTTTGTATGTGTGTAAGTTATTCATATGCTTCAAATTTACTTCATTCCTTAACATCTATTCCTTAACATCGCATTTTCCTCGCCCTTAGTTATTCGTACATGTATTTTTTGTAATATCGATTTAGTTTTAAACGACATACATATAAATTTTTTTATAAAAATGCATACTAATAAAATTATCTAAGACTTATTTGTGAAGAGTGTTTATATGCCCCTTTGAAATTTATTCTGTCGAACGAGACTGACACATCTTCAAACTGCCCCTTAATGGATAGGGTGCCCCCGTCCGACTGATTGATGTGATGGTCCGTGTGGTTGATGTTGCTCGTGAGAGAAGGCAGAGATCTCCGCTACTCTAGAGATGTGATCGACGGGGTTGAATAAGACCACAGGACCCTGCGACGTCTACTTAATCTGCCATGAAAAGGAGGGCAAACTCGGTGTTATATTTGTAGTGAGAGTGGGACTTTATAGCCAAGTATTGTCGGTAACTATAGTGGACGACCTCGCTACAATCCATATCAATTTGACATTCTTCAACTGCTAGCTCTTTTGCGTCGACGACCGGACGAAAAAAAAACCGATTCTGAACAGAAACTCTCTGAGAGTTTTCTCTCTTTTCCCTTTCCTCCTATCACGAATAAAAATTCCCCGAGGATTTTTTATATTAAATGACGGAGTTGAGCTGTCATAAAAGTCAAACAGCTCTTGTCAAGTTCGAATTTTCTCCTCCCAAAATTTCGAGGAAGGATTTATTTTTCGGGAGAAATAAATTCCCGGAGAATAAACTCCCTGGGCTGTACGAGTTTTCCTAAGGTCTCTTATGAGCGCTTGGAGCGCCTCTACGACTGCTATCTTAGTTGTGATATAAAAATTATGCTTTGCGATTTCAATGCAACGATGGGCAAGGAAGGCGTTGTTGCTATCATTGTAGCAGCACTACTAAGCGCCGCCTGGGTCGGTTTGTCCATCAATCGCTGTCGTCAAACTCAGCTAAAGGTTGGTCCAAGAAACGAGCTGTTTTGATGGGGTCGCTGTTTTTACCAGCGGTGAGGTAAGGGTAGCCATCGGGAAGGCGAAAGCCTCCAAAGCCATTGGACCCGACTGCCGTCATTCCAGACATCTGGGAGATGGGGAGAGTGGTCCCACTGCTCAAACCGCGGAAACCAGCCAACAAAGGAGTCTTATCGTCCGATAGCCCTCCTTTCCCCGGTAGCGAAGACACTAGAGGCCTTGCTACTCCCGTTTTTTACCAGCCAGCTAGCCCCAGCGAAGCATCAGCATGGATTCCGTAAAGTGTACAGCACAACAACAGCACTTAACGCCATAAATACCCAGATAACTCGTGGCCTTAACCGAAACCGCCCCTGTGAGAGAACCATTCTAGTAGCGCTGGACCTGCATAAGGCGTTCGACACTGTCAGCCATTTAACGCTACTAGAAGACGTAGATGCCTCTTCTCTCCCACAGGGACTCCAACGGTGGTCGGAGAATTATCTGAGTGGTCGTTACTCGTCTGTAACTTTTAGAGACAAAACCTCGGGAGACTCGGACCACAATAGCCCAACTGCCTCTGGTTACTGCAGCAGGTTGCAATTATACCTGAGCAGATTAAACTAGGATGTTCTTAACGAATGCCCGGCATGCGTAGAGTCGCCCCATGACTAACAGCATCTCTTCGTATGCTCTCTGAATCCCACCTCACTAACGTTCCTGTCCCTATGGACATACCCCGTCGAGGCTGCTCTGTGGCTACTCTATGCATGCCGGGCACTCATTGGCCACATCTGCGTATACTCTGTTCAGGAACTAGTTTAGGCTGCTGCTGTATCCAAAGCGAAGTTGGGCTATTGTGGTGCGAGTCTTCCGAGGCGGAGGGCTTCGACGTTGGGTGGTTGTGTACCCAAAACGGCATTCACAGGTCGGGAATCTATATCACTCGAGACCGACTTTCTGTGCATGCCGTTCAAGGCCTGTCGGTATGCAGTTAGGTTCGGAGGTTGCTTTATGAACCTCTGGACATCGTCTGTCAGTTCATAGAGATGCCTCCTGACGTTCATTGGCGAGGGCTCTTCTGCAAGCCCTGTTCGGCTGCCCACGTCTTTGACACCCTACTAGGAACTACATGTAGAGCATTGTGTTATGCTTCTTGATGGGAAACATCTGGACCTCGTCATTAAGGTGGAGTTGAGCTTCGTCCACTGCGTCCTGCTTGTCTCTGGCGACCACATGGGCGCTGCGTCGGGTCCGGTAGTTGGTTGATGTCGGTCTGGACCGCGTCCATATACTTGCCTTCTGACCTGCTTGGGTGGAGACGCTTCCTCAAACAAGGGTCTTCTGTTGGGGTGCTCACGCTGCCCGGAGTCCGGAACGCGTCTTTGATCCTACTGGCCAGGGCCCGGAAGATAATGGTTTGTAGCCCCAGGCTCAATGGCTGTCTTAAGTTTGCAAATAGATCATGTTGATAAAGATGAAATACACGTTTCCAGGGTTTTAGACGTACTTGCGATTCGAAGACTAAACCGTGGCTCGGGACAATATCTTGTTGAAGCAAAGATACGCATCCAACTCTGTGTGGAAAAAGTGATCGAAAGAGTTTGAAATACGTGAGTGCGGAGAGCTCAAAACGCTGTGTTATGGCAAAAAAACGCCCGCACATTTTATCAGAAATTTAGGCGACTAATTAACACCGCATGAATTAGGGCCGCCTGATGAGATTATTTTTTGAAGCACGGCAGAAGGCCGTCAACGTGAAAACAAATTTTGTGCAACAATACTGTGGACTGCGTAGATGGAGTTGGACTGCTAGGGACTATTTTTTTTGAAAGCCGCCAACGCGGAGAGAAGTTTGGAGCAGCAATGATGTGGACTGCTTAGCCGGGGTTGGTCTGATGATCGTTATTTTTTGAAGCAGCAGAAGATCGCCAACGCGGAAAAAAGTTGAACACAAAAACACTATGGATTGTGTTGCCTGAGTTGGACTAAGGGGTTTTTTTGTAGGCCGCCAACGCTGAAAAAAGTTCGACGCAACAGTAGATGGATGGAATCAGTACCGCGTGAATTAACCGTCTTATTATTTCATCGGCGGTTTAAGTTTATTTTGCGAATGAAATAAGTACAAATTTAATTTTGTCGTCTGTGTCGTTTTGTGTTGTTTTGTGATCGAAACTAAATGCCGTTCCGAAACGAACGAACCGAAAGAGAACCAAACTGTCGAGAACGTTCTCAATGGGAATTATATAAGAATAAAACCCTGTGGAATGTTCACAAAGAGAAAGAAATGCAAACAATACTTTCGGGAACATTTCTAAGAAAACAAAGTGGGAACAAAAGTCTAAGGAACTTTCTCTCGAAGAACATTTTGGGAACTAAAGTCTGAGGAACTTTCTGATAGAGAACGATACGGGAACAAGTCTTCTCATGATCGATTCGCTAACAATGGAAGCGAGAAACAATTTTTTCTCAAACTAATGGATTAAAATGTTTCAATATTAAAATTAATCAAAAAAGAACTGAAAGATGATTATGCAAACAAATTGAACGAAAGACTTAAGACACGAACTTTTCGTGCACAGAAAGTGAAATTTTTTTCCATAAATGAGCCGTTCACCCTAATGATAAACGATCTGGAAATGATCCAGCTTTCCTCTGGCTCAGAATTAACAATCGTGGTTCTCACTGAAACAATTTTTCATCCCAACACGCAAACGTTCCTCTCAATCTTAACGTTGAGTTCTCAAACCTTTTGTTCTTTAGCAGAACGTTCCGCAGAATTTTGTTCTTATTTGATCCTCCTTGAACACGTTTTCGATATTTTCGTTCTAAATTTGTTCCCATTGGAAACGTTGGTTGTGTTCAGAAATTCATCAAGCCAAAGCATCAGTCTCATTTACTTCGGTCGGTTTATTCCCCTAAGAGCCCCTATCTACGTTTCTGGAGCTACTTACCTATCCGAGTATTTATACATGTAAAGTCAGTTATGTATTTTCATACGCTTTAGTTTAATTTGTTTCATTTCGTGAACAATATAGACTCGCGTGCGCACATAGAACATATGAATGTATTTATGTTTAATTTATATAAAAATATCTACTTTAGTACACAGTTAAATTCACATACATTTATCTTTAAATACAGTTTAGTGGTAAACTTATTGCAATACCAACGTGTTATCTATTTTACGCATTTAAATGCTTAACAGTTACTTGTAGTATTTGTAGTATGTATGTATATGTAAAGTTACGTGTATATTGAATTACATAAACTTATTCGCATTACATTAAGTTACATCAAAGATGATTATACACATACATATCGGCGTACATATATTATCTATGTTCCTTCTACAAAAATATTATAATATTCATGTACTTTTGGTACATATTATAAGACCATATGTAATGCATATACAATTACATACATATGTATTTCCTTTAAGAACATTAAATGTACTAGCATAACAGTTTTCCAGTAAAAATATATCAACCTAGCTTGTGACACCGGCAAGATATTACTACCAGCTGCTACAACAACTACTACTAAACCTTCACTTCTGGACGCGCCCAGCCGCCAAAGGCGCGTTCCAACTCTTCGGCAACTGCCAAGCACAGCCTATCGTTATTAAAGTTGGCAATAACTTGCAGACCCAGAGGCACACCTTCGCTACCGAGTTGTCCCAGTGGCACGGCAGTGGCGGGGAAGCCCAAAACGTTCACGATGCCTGTGTAAGAAAAGTTAATGGGGCGGAAGATGGGTTCGTTGTGGTATGGTGCAACGGTGGGATGTGTGGGATAGAGCAGAACACCATCATCGCCCAAAAGCTCCTGCATTTCGGCGCGTAATTCATCGCGCTTCTTTACCATATGCTTATATTTGCTCGAACCATACTGCACCTGTGTCTTGTCCATAATGGCGGTCAAAAGTCCGATAAATGTGTGCTTGGAAGCGCCAAAGACCCATTTCACCAATTCAACATAGGGGTTAATAGCCACTTTTAAATCACCCAGTTGGTGAGCGAATGTATAGCCAGAATCATCTTTCATATTGGCAAACCAAATGATGGTCGATTGACGGAATTGCTCCAGTTGCACCTTTTCCACCACCTCGGCTTTTAACTTCTGCCGCAAATGTTGTACGGTACGCTGCATGCCTGCTAATAGATCGGCATCCACTGGCGTCACCAAGCGACCACCGCCGTCGGTCTCCTGATAGAAGAAGCGCACCTTTTGCAAATCGACCGGCTCATCCAAATTCAATTCGGACGCCTTATCACCGGCAATAATTCGTAGCATCGGCTTCAAATCCTCTGCAAAACGTGACATTGGTCCAATGCCGAGAAATGAATTTTGCTCAGCTGTGAATGGCATAGGGAATTGACCCTTATTCGAAACAATTAGCTTGCTGGGCTTATGACCGAATACGCCATTAAAGAATGCCGGCATACGTATAGAGCCGCCAATGTCGGATCCCAGTCCGAAGGGCGAAGCGGCTGCCGATTGTATGCAGCCCTCACCGCCGCTGGAGCCGCCAACTATGCGATTTGAATCGTAAGCGTTACGTGTGCGCCCGTGCACCGAATTGTTGCTCTCCCACCACATGCATACCTCAGAGATGTTAGTTAGCGCGAATGGAATGGCGCCCGCTTGCCGCATCAAAGCCATCGCGGTGGCGTCCTCGGTGGCGCGCACATCTTTCCGCGCATACAAACCGGCAGTATGCAGAAGGCCTGAGGAAAAATGAAAAATTTTTAGATTAGAATTGCATATGTATGTATAATGCCAAAATAAGATGGGTTTCTTATCATCCACTCATTTTGACAAAAAAGGAGACATGCATAGCTCTGCTTATACGAATATGCCGGAGCAGTCCTAGAACGCACATAACACAAGCTTTGTTTAGTAGTTAAGAGGTTTGTTCAAATCTAGTGAGACCTTTCAAGACAGTCCAATTCGTCAAAGAATTTGTCCCTCACAGTTCTGAAGTTAATTTTCGGAGTGCCGCCGTTTCTGCTTACCTAAAGTTTCGACAAAAATTATTATGCGGAGCTACAAACCTGCCTTTAAGAGTCGCAGCATGCTTAATGCTCATTGCTCGTCAAGACAAGATTTGTTTACCTGCTGTTATTAGTCGCTTTAGCTTTCCCCCCAATATGTGTAACTTCAATAAATGCTCTGGATTTCTTAAGTATTCTCTAAAATCTCTTCTCACGCATACAAGCTGTTTCGCTTTCAGGAATACCACTTGTTAGTAGTATAGAAGTGCTGTCGGAAAAATCGTAGCGATCTTCGTCATTCTTTTAAATGATTTCGATCTAGTCCGTGGATTTAGGGACCTTAAACGCAGCCCTACTGTGTACCTCTAAGACAAATTTTTATTGAAAGAGCTCTGACTGGCTCAACAACTTCGCTGCGCCAACGTTATTTAGGATTCGACAGAGGCGTTAATCAAGGTCATTCGACTCTTCCTGGAGTTAATGCTTACTTCCAGCCTTTCGCTTTAGATTTTTAGGAGGGTTTAGGCCCACCGTCGTAAATACGAATGTCGAAAGAAATGGACGATGTGGTGCCCAGTGAACAGGCTTATTTTTGCCACTTTCAGAGTTCCTTCATTTGATTCATATTTTATTATCGGCATATTGCCTGTGCTTTTAGCCTATTCTGTGTAGAAATTAAGGGAAGTAAGAAGAACGGTCTACTGCGGCAGAGCTCCATGTCGTAGCAAGTCGACCGTTGCTCTTGGCGTCGGCCCGGCATCCGATGGTATCAAATCTTAATAATCGCGGAAATGATTCCAGAAAGACAAGTCTTCCGTTAGCAGGAATAAGTAATAGCTGTTTTGAGAGTGTTTTACGTTGGAAAAATCCACTTCGCAGTATAAGGCTAACAAAAATAAAATTAGCTCACCTTTCACTGCAATGCAATCCTTTGTCGATATTGGCACACCCAAATATGGTTTCAATTTCTCTAGTTCCTCCTCGGTGTGTTCGCCCGATTTAATTAGCTTATCAGCTTCAGCTGCCTCCTGGAGCGCCTCGTCGAAGCGATTGTCCACACAGCAATTGAGCTTTGGATTTACATCTTTTATGCGACGTATAAATGATTCCAATACTTGCACGCTTGTGAGCTGTTGTGGAATCAAATAATAAAAATAACAAATAAAAAACCAAAAACGACGTTAATTAGAGGCCGAAGTATGTATGTACCTACAATATGCATTTTATTATCTATTTAATTTGAAAACTCACCTCCTGTTTGCGTATTTTACGCGCCAGCGATGTGGCCGACTCGAGCAGTATGGGGTCAGCGATGGCGGGCATTGTTTCACCCTTCACGCCATAGATTAATTGGAAAACTAGGCGTACGATTTTGGTGATGAAATTGAAAAATAATTGAGCTATGAATCCGCTGATTGAGCAACGTTTTTGTGCGCGACGTCTTCTGCCACCACCGCCGCTGACGCTGCTGCTACTACTATGCCGCCGGCTACCGTGGCGTCTGCTCCGCTTCTTCGTCGATTTTTCTTCGTTAATAAATGCATTAGTTTCCGTCATTGTGTTCAGTTACTTATTGCTTTATTTTTTAAATTTATTATTTAGTTATAGGTATGTTTTATGTTAAAAAATGTAATTTTTGTACTTTCAATAGTTGGATATATGTATGTATGCAGAAATGCCGGAATGTTTATTGTATATATTGCGTCTGTGACCATACGATTTTCGTGTAGAATTGCTACATACATATATTTATAGTGTTCGTTAAAAAAAATACTGTGGAACTGTGGTAAACATGAAATCGAAATGTTGCTTTAGAAACGCTAATACTATACTAGTGGTGGTAGGTTTTTTGCTTTCCTTCACTTTTTCTAATGCCGTTTATTGTTGGTGCATCATTTGCATGCTGAAATTGAAAAAACAAGAGTTTATGATTTATTGCAAATAAACAAATATGTTCCTTTATATATTTTTTCTCAGTTTGATGTTATAAATACACAATATCAAGCACACGTTTACCACTACAACAAAAGTATTTTTGTTTGTATCTTAAAATAGGCATTCTGTCCTTTAAGTACCGCAAATTATATCTTTTAATAATTTATAAAAAAAAAATTTTTTCTTAGTGTGATTCGTTGAATTTTGTAAACCAAAAATGCTAATTTATTTGTTTTTCTAATTTTTTACATTCAGTGATTTTCTATTTTTATAATACTTTATTGCTTTATACATTTGTTAAAATTTTCTAATCCTTTACTCCCAACGTTTAGGTCATATGCTACTAAAATTTCAAGGGCTATAAAATTGTATACCAAAAATTTTTCTAAAAATTCGGAATAAAAAGTTTGAAATTTTTACTTTTTTTAATTTGTTGAATTTTTATAATTTTTGTGTAAAGTTTGAAATGTGGATTTATATGGTGCTTATTATATCATGTGCTAGAATTTTGTAAAAAAAAAAATAAACATTAAATCAACAAAAAAAGGCGAAACGGGTTAAAATATAACTTAACTTAATCATACAAATGTACATGTGTGCCAATGAAGGGCAAAATTGTGTGTTTTCGAAAAAATCCCTAAAAATAAAACACGAAAAGTTACGAAATATTTTAACAAAATAACGAAAAAGTCTCGGTAAAATCAAACAAATAAATAAATAACACCGCAGTAAATTTTAAGTTTCGAAAAATCCCGAAAATCATGATTGGAAGAAAATAAAAACAAAATTATAACTTTTCTTTCTAATTGTAACTTTTATATTTGACTAAAAAACAAAAAACAAAATTTTAACTTTTTACATTTGACTGAAAAAATAAAAGTGAAATTTTAACTTTTATATTTGACTGAAAAAATAAAAGTAAAATTTTCACTTGTATTTTTTTACCGAAAACAATAAAAGTCAAATTTTAACTTTTATATTTGACTAAAAAAATAGAAGCCAAATTTTAACTTCTCTTTTCGACCGAAGAAATTAAAGTCTAAATTTAAATTTTATTTTTGACTGAAAACATATCGGTGAAAAATAACGATTGATTATTGGCTTTGTTAAAAAAAGCATATCAGTAAGGCGGATTCATCGTTTTAGTGTACTCTCAAAGAGAGAAACACAACAACAACCACATGGAAGAAAAGTTCAAAACGGTCTCTGAATTCACTTCTAACTTAGAATTTTCTATTTACTATCCCTATTTTTGGCTTAAAACTTCAACTTGTGGAATCCCAAACATATTTGTATATGAGCCGTTTTTTTGAAAGTGTCATAAGTCACTTCACACCCCTTAGGCTTAAATGACCGGTTACTTGTATCTCAACGCGTCGTTTATTCGATCAACCTCATCAACCAAAGGTTAAAAGTTTTGTCATTAGTTTACGACGATAGAACGATTTACAGATATGTATATTCGGTTACAAGTAACCGATCATTTAAGCACAAGAGATATGAAGTGACTTATGCCACTTTCAAACTACAAACTTGGATATGATATATTTATGTAGCTTTACTTTAATTTTTGCTGTTCGACCACCTGTAATTTTACTTGCACAAACACATTTACCACTATTCAATTTCATTCGTACTCGAAAATTCGTTTGGCGAAAATTCGGTATTTACCTTTCAGTCAACATTTTAATGAGAATCTTGTATTTAACAAGCACACCAACTAAATATGTTTTAAATTTTCAGCTTAAAATATGCAAACAAATTTTGACTCGAGCTCGTCTTCTACTGAAACTGCATACCTACTCAAAAATTTTAAAAACAATTGGATAAAAAATTAGATATTTTGATGAAAATTTTTTATAAATTTTCTAAAAAGTTTACGATTTTCACTTACATGAGTTTTGTTATAGAGTTAACTATATTAAAAAAAATGTAAATGAAGGAAAGAAAACTTTGTCAAAATTTGTCATTACATTGAACATAATTCTACATACATACATATGTACGTAATACATATAAACCTTTGTTGTGTTTTAAACTAATGAACTATTATGTTGACAATACTATATGTATTTAAACGTCTATTATGTAGTTATTTTTGTTAAATTATGATTTTTATTGTTTTGTACTGATTTTTGATCCCAAGTGTACTGATTATGTCACTAAAATATATGGCTACCCTATACATATACATATATACTGTAAACAAAACCATACACATGTATGTACATACATCGAATTATTATAGTTTAATTAATTCATATGAGGCTTTCATAACCGCCTAGAAAACTGTATCGATTTTATTACGTTGCGCAATATCTAAGCACCAATAATCCAAAATATTTATATAAATAACTGTAACCATTCACTTTCGAGTGTGCAATTGTAATAATCTATGTAATCCATACACGTCTCTGATTACAACAAATAAATTGGTAAACGATGATATATTGCATTATTATAGAATACAAACATCCATAAATGAATTTGTTGTTGCACATCACTGATTCACCACGTTTGCATTTGACGCTAGAACGTGTATGTGTGTATGTATGTATGTACATAAATACATTTGAATATGTGTGTGTATGCATTATTAAACAAACAAAAGAATTGCATCAAGAGAAGTGCATCATACAAACAACAATCTAAAGAAAATCAAACTTTAAAGGGAATTAAATATGATAACAATAGAATTGTCCAAAGTACCACAACACAAAATTTTTTACGTACAGGCAACTAACTGTGTACATATACTTTTTTAAGTTATAAAACAGAAATATCGGACCGTACAAAGCGAATTCTCAAAATGAACTGAGCTAAATAGAGAAGACGAAGAATAATATGGATAAACCAGCAGCATTGGCGATGGCTGACTACAAATGTACATATGGTTACATTGTGTGGAAATACTATGTACATATGTATATATGTTATATACACACCGTGTCAAAATTACAGGCACACCAATTGAATTACTTTTTTTATAAAAACATAGTTTATTCTTTAAGAAGTACCGTTTCAAACTTTGTGCAGTATTAAAAAAAATAAAACAAAATAAAAAATTAGTAAACATGTCAAGCTTTTTAATAAGACTTCTTAGAAATATTTGGAGTGTGCAGTTTTGTAGCCCATTTAATTTTAGTACAATAAAGTGAAAGGTTGAAGTAGCTAGGACATCCCGTTGATTTTAAGCAATTTTTTTCCTGACGGTGCTGCGCGTTTTCTTCCATACAAAATATGTTCGACGGTTTTTAATATGAAAGAATTGAGCAACACCTTTAACAGAAAAATTGCCAAAAATTAAACGTAAGACCTAGCTACTCCAAACTAAAATTGAATGGGAGAAAAACTGCACACTCAAAGTATTTCTGAGGAAGCTAATTAAAAAGCTTGCAATTTTTACGAAAATTTATTTAATTTTTTTTTTAAATTTTGCACAAAGTTGAAACTTGATTTATACGCGTTTTGGTAAAAAAAAAAACATTACTAAAATTAAAATTAATAAACAAAAAATAAATTGTTAAAACTTGTCAATATGTGGTTAGCTTATAATTTTTACACGGGGTCTATATGCATACGTATGTACTTAAGTATAAATGTATGTATGAACACTCATAGCAAAAGCAATGGCTACGACGTAGCACACGAAAGTCGCTAGCCTGTTGTTGGCAGATTTCCTCATTCTTCAACGCCAACAGTAGTCATCATACTGACAAAGTCGGCGTCGACGAATCCCCTCATACAGAGGCAGTAAATAGCTGGTAGCTACTCAGTAGGAAATTTGGGCAGGTAACCGTTTGTGCGCAAGTAAGCATCTTTAAAAAATATAGTGCATGTATGTATAATAACTAAATGATTCATGTTTTCACAAAAAAAGCGGGACTTACAGTTTTATGCCGTACATATACAGTACCCTCCTTTTCTTCCTAATTGACCGCAAACAGAAAACCTAGAAAATTGCACCTGTTTTTCACGAAGTTACGGCTATTTCGCAAAACCAAGTGTAGATACGTATATACATATGGGGGTTCTGCCAGTCCCTTGGTCCGACATGGGTGCATGATTACTGCTAATCTTTACCGACTGGGTAGTTGTGCGGTTTCCTGGGTGTTGGTGTGTGTGGTTGAAAGCCCAAAAATTCCGCTCGACTGACTAGAAAGCTACATACATATGGACATATGTCTGTATATATATATCTGGAACTACATAGTTACTTGTTGCGCACAGCGTCAAAAACTGGTTACTATACTTACTAAATATGTAGTAAGTATTTTTGCTTTGCGTCATTAATGAAAATCGCTAGAGCTGCGTTGTCATGACACAAATTCGCCAATCTGCAATAGCTTCTACAGGAAAACACCTTCACTAACTTTAAAAATTCAGCTTTTTAGATTTGACTGTTGAACAAGACTTTGCTGCTTCGCACACAAACGTAATATACACATGTATGATGGTGTGAGTTTACCCACCTCTGATGTACACTGATGTACAAATGCAATATTAAGAGCATACTGTTAATGTAAGAGCTTACACCAGACATGCCCAACGCTGGCAGAACTCCATAAGCAAGTGCTGGGCATGCCTGGCTTACACATTCACCAATTAGTTTTTAGGGGAGTATAAGCAGCGTTGCCGTTTGGCTACAATTGTAGCAAAAGTGCTATATTTAAAATGAAAATCTACAATGCTACAAAATTTGTAAAATGGCTACATTTTCAATTCCAAACTTGCACTTAATGCACTAAATTTTAGTAAGCTATAAAACTGCATTCCAAATTGTTTTAAAATTTCTAATTAAAAAGCTTGAAATTTTAATGAAACTTGGGTTGCTTTTTATTCATTTTTATTTCATTTGAATATATTACATTTTTGGCTACTAATAAAATTTACTGAGTCGCAACACTGAGTATAAGTCGTTGCTAAGATATAAATCTGGATCGTTCCAATTGAAGATGGCATCGGGAGGAGCAATTCTTAGCTGTCTAGAACACCACTATAAAGCCATAAAATACATACATACATATGTATGTACAATAAAAAGTTATTGTATTGTATTCATGCATTTCTAACAGCCACATAGGGCATACATATGTCATGGCAAATATGCAACCATAAAATAAAAATGTGTAGATAAATAACCGCCGTTATTAAATAAATAAATTTCCGTTGGCTGAGACGCAGCAAAGCAAAGTAATTAGCCGGCAATAAAAACAGCAACAAACTAATTTTAATTGGGCAAAGTGTTTATAAACAATATAGTATTAACTGCTATATCTAGTGTTAGAACGAATTTTATTTCAATAAAAATAATTATTCTCAAAGTAAATACATATGTGTACAAACATATGTACATTAGACTGCATCGCCAAAAAAAGTTGCGGGTTTTCCGCGGGGATTACAAAACTTATTATATTGGAGGCTTCCCCCAAAATAATTCGGAAAAATATTAAATTTTACGTGAGCTGGACCGATTTTAAAATACCTCTAAAAATTTAGTTTTTTATAAATAAAACTAGTTTCTTCAGATGACAAACCAGTTCAAGCCTAAAAAATTTGTATACAAATAAATTTTTTTTTCAACGGAATCATAATAATGAGATTTTTGATGTTGTTTTTTTAAATTTTTTCAAATATTGGTTTAAGAAAAACTTGAATCGGTAAGGTATTTCTTTTTTATTTCTTTTTCAATTTTTTTTTATTATGAACACGTCTTAATTCTACTTGGAATAACGCTCGTTCATCTCAACTTTCTCTTTTATACTTTGAATGAGTTCATTTAACGTTAACGAGTTAAACAACGTTATCGACACCCTACCTATAACATGTGATCGATAAAGCAGTCGATGTGCCCAACTGAAGGATGTACCTGCAGTTAGCGTTAACTAGACATGGTGTGACCGGCCCATAGGCAAAGTTTAGGCTGAGTTATTCCTGTTTATCTTAAACCAACCTTTGAAAAAAGTTCGAAACGGCATCAAAAACCTCATTATTGGGATTCCGTTGAAAAATATGTTTGATTATTTTTACGCAAATTTTTTTTGCTTAAACAGTTTTGCTCTCTGGTTGATTTTTTTTTTTCAAAAAATACTTAAAATAAATTATTTTTATTCATAAAAAACTTAATTTTTGGAGGTGTTTTCAAATCGGTCCAGCTCATGTAAATCCTCATATTTTCCGAAATATGTATATACATATGTAACTATAGGCGTGTTTTATTTGGCGAGAAACTTAAGCTATTAGCTTATTTTGTATGGAAGACTTAGTAACAATTAGTTGTTTATTTACACATTTCCAGTAAAATCCATTAAAAATTGCTACAAATTTTAATGTTTTGGCGTTTTCGTACGCAAAAACTTGTAAAGTAGGGGAAATTGAAAGAGCGAGAATGACAGCTGAAGTTGCAAGTTTTCACTGGATTTCTACGAGATAAATTTTCAATTGTAACAATTTGTGGGTTTTATTGTTGAAACTGACAAAATTAACCTATTTAAATATAAAATATATATTAGGAATTTGCTGTGAATAAACAACCTATTTATCAACTGTTCATGAAACTTGCAAATTTGGATATTTTTTCTATGAGAGCGAATTCTCAGAAATTAAGTTACTGGAGAGTTGCTGGCAAGTTAGTAGATAATAAAATATTTGGTAGTGTAGGTATATGTATAAAGTTTGTGCACGTAAAATTAACGAAGTACTTAAATGTTAATGTTAATATGTGTGAATTTCCAACGCAGGCCTGTCTTTCTAGGAATCCGAAATTTAGTGTTGATTTGGACTTTGCACCCAAATTTGCCATACCTAACTAAAATTGTTCGAGCAAATACTCCATTAGCAATATTGTGTGTATGTATGTACATATGTACATACATATATATCTGTGGGCATTTGAAAGAAGAACTTTAGTCTAGCTTTCACGGATACATGTACGTATGTCAATAGAGCTAAGCGGTAAGCCTTTTACTTTTATTTAAGAGAAAACATCAATTGTTGAAAGCAAAAACTGTTTAAAACGTTGTGGAATAGCGAAAAAATGTGTACGTTATGTCGACATATGCTGTTTATTTAGTTCGTGAAAGATAGACTTAATTTGTATAGCAAATAGCTGGACGTTCCAGCAATTTGTTTTTCGCACTCATAATGTACAAAGGCATGTACTATTTACTTATGTATGTATGTTTGTATTTTTGTATGTATGTATACATATTTATATGGGCAATCTCAGAAATAATCAACCAAAAACGAAAAAAATGTATGCAATTTAAATTCTCACATTATTTTATTTTATTTTTTTTTGTTATTTATGGCCTTATAACAATTATATTCAATATTTTTACTGAGCTTGAGGCCGGTTTTAATGAAAAAACTATTGTTACTTTTCCACAATAAGTGAGTAACGTCCGAAAACAAATTTAGAGAGCAAATACACCGCTACTAATTAAAAAAAAAACTTTTACTAATTTATTCCCGTATGTACTTACGTTTATCATATAAATTGTTTAACTTCTAATTTGTAAAATGGAAAGAGACGTCCAAACGTAACATACGCAACGCTACCCTGTGCGAAATGCACTAGTGCCGAACTGGTTCAGTACTAGAGAATTTAGAATCATGACACACTAGCAAATTTCAGATTGCGATATCCTACGAAGTATCAATTGCACCCGCTACATCCATTTTTCGATAGTTCCGAACCAGTTCTAAATTCGCCACTTTAAATATAGACTTGTAATGACAAGATTTTTTTTTTAATTTTTTGGGATTTATCACATTCTCAGTGACTGTTTTGGACTTAGCAAATTTG